TTATGAAATAAGTAGGATATAAGTGAATTAGATTATGAGATAAGTAGAATATAAGTAAGTAAAAATATAAATTGATGATTTAGGTTATAAAAAAAGTAGGATATAAGTAGGTGAAAATATTAATAAACGATTTAGATTATGAGATAAGTAAGTGAGCCAGAATTGGGGTTTTCATACTACTGTTACATATCTTATTTGTAACATCCTTTTTTTTATTTTTTTTTAATAATAAATTTAATATGTATTTCACAAATAAAATTTTTATATTCAAAATTTAATTTGAAAAACTTTTACTTAATGTATTTAAGACAGTTTCATAGACAAAATTTTAAGTTATAAGCAGTTTCTTGAAATTTTTTAAAAAATTCTTTTGTCTTAGTTACATGACTGATCTTTTGTTTTTATTTACATTATGCCTGATCTTAAATTTTAATTGGATAAAATTGGGAGTTGTTACAAATAAGATGCGTAACAGACTGTTACAATTAGATTTATCCTTTAAAAAAAATGTTTTGCAACATTTTTTTTTTTAATATTTTAATAAAATTTTGAAAATTTTCAGATTTCAGTTTAAGTCAGGTCAAATAAATAATCTGATATAATAGGATTTCACTTATTCCTAATAGAGATCTCTAGGAAAAATTTCAAATTTACTAGTAATTTTACCAGCAATCTTATTAGTTAATTGATCTAAAAAGGAAAAAAATCAGAATAACTTAGTGTAATATTTCTTTTTTTAGGTGTAATTTATTTATATATAGTAGGATCTTTAAAAATTCTCAATTATAAATTTTACTTTAGGTTTCTAATGATCTATCTTATAAGTAAATGGAATCGATCCTGATATAACCTAATCTGATCTGACTCACTCCTATCACTCTTCTTCATTTCCATTACTTCTTTTGTCTTTCATTACTTTTTTTTATCTCTTATCACTTCCTTTTGTCTTCTATTACTCCTTTTTGTTTTCTATTACTTTTCTTCATCTTTTATTACTCCTTTTCATCTCTTATTACTCCTTTTTACTCCTAAAGATGATTATTAGTTCTATCAGTTCTACTCAGTTTTAGACCAGTCAGTTCCAGGACTTGTAGGACCAAATTATTTTTTTTTGGCACAGTAAGCAATGGTCGAAATAAAAACTTTCGGTCATGTGACAAATCGGCTGATCTGTCACACATTTCGGCCAAATTTCGGAAATTATTAAAAATCAGCCAAATTTCGACATATATGATTTATGGTCGATTTATTGAATTATTTAATCAAACGTTACGCATTATGCATTACGCGTATTAAAAGTTTAAAAAGGATCATCCTTTTTTAAACTTTTTTTTAATTTTTTTCTTCCCCTACCCTTTCCTTTCCTTCGTTCCCCTTCCCTATTTCCCCTTCTTTCCCTTTCCATTCCTTCCTTTTTTCTTCCTTCCCCTTCCCTCTTTCACTTTTTTTTTTATAGGTTCGGCTTTCAGGTGGACTTCCGAAGTACAAAAACTCCAAAGATTCGTAAGTACGAATACTTTGGAGTTTATTTTATTTTTTTTAATACGAACGGTTACTAACCGTTCTTTTTTCTTTCTTTTTTTTTAAGTTCGGCCGTTCGGGTGGGCTTCCGAAATACAGAAACTCCAAAGATTCATAAGTACGAATACCTTGGAGTTTATTTTATTTTTTTTTTAATATGAACAGTTACTAACCATTCTTTCTTTTTTCTTTTTTTTAGGTTCGGCCATTCGGGTGACTTCCGAAGAATGGAAAAAACCAAGTTTCGTAAATTAAAACTTGGTTTATTTTTTTTTAATATTATGAACGGTTATTAACCGTTCTTTTTCTTTTATTTTTTATAGGTTCAGCGTCTCAGGTAGGGCTTCCGAGTTCCGAAGAATGAAAAAAACCAAGATTCGTAAGTAATCTTAGTTTTAATTTTTTTGTTTTTTTTAATTTTATTAATGAACGGTTACTAATAACTGTTCCTTTCTTTATTTTTTAGGTTCGGGTGGGCTTTCAAAGAACAAAAACCCAAAGATAAAGATTCGCAAGTACAAATCTTTTTTTTATAATTTTTTTTTTTTGTTTTTTCTTTATTACGAACGGTTACTAATAACCGTTCTTTTCTTTATTTTTTAGGTTCGGGTGGACTTCCGAAAAACGAAAACCCAAAGGTAAAGATTAGTACGAATCTTTACTTTATAATTTTTTTTTTGTTTTTTCTTTATTACGAACGGTTACTAAAACCGTTTTTTTCTTTATTTTTTAGGTTCGGGTGGGCTTCCGAAGAACGAAAACCCAAAGGTAAAGATTCGTAAGTACGAATCTTTACTTTATAATTTTTTTTTTGTTTTTTCTTTATTACGAATGGTTACTAATAACCGTTTTTTTCTTTATTTTTTTAGATTCAGGTGGGCTTCCGAAGAATGAAAACCCAAAGGTAAAGATTCATAAGTACGAATCTTTACTTTATAATTTTTTTTTTAATTTTATTAATAAACGGTTACTAATAACCGTTCTTTTCTTTTTTTATAGGTTCGGGTGAACTTCTGAAGAACGGAAGAAGGAGAACCTTTAAGATTCGTAAGTAATATACTTACGAATCTTTTTTTTAATGTTATAGAACGGTTACTAACCGTTCCTTTGATTTTTTTTATAGGTTCGGGTGGATTTCCGTCTTTCCAAGGAACGGAAAAAACTAAAGATTCAATATGAATCTATTTTTTTATTTTTGTTTATTATTACGAACGGTTTCTAACCGTTCTTTTTCTTTTTTTTTAGGTCAGTGTCTTCTGAAGAATGGAAAAAACCAAGATTCGTAAGTATGAATCTTGGTTTTATTTTTATTTTTTTTTTATAATATTAACGAACGGTTACTGATAACTGTTCTTATTTTATTTTTTTAGTTCAGTGGGCTTCTGAAGAACAACAGAAAACCAAGATTCGTAAGTAAGTACGAATCTTGGTTCTTTTTTTTATTTTTTATTTTTATTTTTTATTACTACGAACGGTTTACTAATAACCGTTCTTTTCTTTTTGTAGGTTTCGGGATCTTTAGAAAAAGTGGAACTAAGATTCGTAAATACGAGTACGAATCTTGGTTTATTTTTTATTTTTTTAATATTATTATGAACGGTTATTAATAACCGCTCTTTTTTTTTCTTTTTATAGGTTTGGTGTCTCAAGTGGATTCCGATAAACAGAAAAAACCAAAGATTCGTAAGTAGAATCTTGGGTTTTTTTGCTTTTTTTTAATATTATGGAATGGTTACTAACCGTTCTTTTCTTTTTTTTATAGTTTTGGTGGATTTCCAAAAGATCAAGATTCGTAAGTATATACGAATACATGAATAATGTGATTGTGGAATTGTAGATTAGCAATACTTATTTGTAATATGCATTTATAAATAAAGTTGTGATTTTATTGCGAATATCAAATAAAATGAGTTGTGGCTGAATATTAGTAAATAAATTTAGTACAAATTTGCAATATAAATTAAGTAACATTTGGAAAACTATTCACCAAAATTTGCTATCTGAAATTGTTCCGAATGTTAACTGAATTTTGGCCAAAATTTCAAGCCGAACTTTAGGCGAGTGGCAGTGAATTGCAGCCAAAAAATCTGCTAAAGTTCGACCAGCATTAGACCATAAATCAGCCTAAAATCGGCTGGCTGAATTTTGGCCGATTTGGACTATTTTGACCAGTGAAGACTGATCTTGAAACTAATTTGATCTTTATATCAGTCTTTATATATAAGTTATTACATGCATATTAAAACTTTACCTTATTTCTAGAAAAGATTATCTCCAAGAAAAAAAAAAATTAACATTAATAAAGTATAATAAATCCATTTTTATATATAATATTTACTTATAATATATGTTTAGAATGGTTCCTATAAATTTATACAATTAGTGTTCATTTAGTAAAATAATAGAAAAAATTTTTTATTTACAGAAAAAAAAAAAGACTGATCAGTCTTAAAAAGATTGCAGTCCTTAAAAAAAACTATTAATTTTATTGTATGTATTACAGGGCTGAAAGACTGTGGTCCTATACTAAGATGGACCAGTCTATCTTTTTAAGGTGTAGAACTGTGAGACCGTGATCTTTTAGGACTGATGACCATTTTTAATCACTCCTTTTTGTCTTCCATCACTCCTTTTCATCTCTTTATTTCTCCTTTTTGTTTCCTATTACTTCTTATTACTCTTTTTTACTCCTTTCTTTGCTAAAAATAGCTATTTTTTTTGAAATACTTTTGATCTAGCTATAATATTATTTTTATATAGTTTTAAATTTTAATGCATTTCATGTGCATTTCATCAACCATAAAAGTATATTACCATAAAATCGCAAAAATAAGCACCCCTCGAAAATAAGCACCTCTTTATTTTGCACGATCTCATGCAGCAATAAAACATAAGAATATATATAAAAAAATATCACAAAAATAAGCACCTCCCCAAACTTTTTATCCAGAACCCTTGCAAAAAAGGGGTGCTTATTTTTGCGATTTTACGGTATCTAGACTTATAATTTCATTGCAAAATAACGTGAAATAGTTCTGCAATTATTTTTAATTATTTTGCAATAGTTTTAAAATAGCTTATAATTTATTATAATGAATTTATAGTGAATTTATAATACAATTTTAATATATTTTCAATTGATTTTCAATTAATTTTTAATTGTTTTACAAAATTAATGTTAATACAAATACTATAACACTATAGTAAAATTTATCCTAATCCAATGGTTAAATTCGTGTATCTGCTGATCGTAATTTCCCCAGTACACGTTCAAATTATTTGATCAAATTTTCTTGCATTTATGATTTACAATTTCACTTTTTTAAATAGTAATATCATCTTAGCTAAAATATCCATCTTAGTAATTTTTTTCATCCCCTATTAACTTTTGTATATTAGTATATTATATTAGATGTTATATAATGCATTATTAGATAATACCAAATTTACTCAAAAAATAAGCAATTGTAACATATGACTTTTCAAAAATTCTAGCAAAACTTGAAGAGATATTATAATTTTTCACATAATTTATAATAGTACATGTTGTTCCATGATTACCAGTATTAATTATTCTGATCTAAATCTATTTTATTTTTGTTCATCATCTTTAATAAATTTTTCATATATTTTGTTGCAAGAGATGAAAGATGGTACTAGAGAAATGAAGAAAGGAAAGTTATTACATTGATATTTATGACACGCAACGCTTTTTAAAGATTTACTTACTTCATGTTCAGAATTGTGATCGTCGACAAATTTATGTGCTAATTCATGACAGATCATCATGTACCAATATGTTATGGCGTCGATTGTGGATTCATTTTTGTACAAGTCAAGATAAATTTTGAAATTAAAGAATAGTACACGATCCTTATTGAATGCCATTAAATTAGAATTATCATAAAAGACACAAATAATTTTTGGTGCACATTCAAAAACTTCAGTTAGATATTTTAATATATTGACAAAACGGTCTAATGAATCTTGATGTTTTGGAAATATCTCAGATTTATTGATATTTTCTGGAATATGAAATTCCATACCATCTATAAGTTTCTCAAATTGTAATGAATAACCTGAATAATAATAAAATAATTCAAATATATTAGAGTTAATATATGTATGATAATATTCTTAAGTTACAATATAATCGCTATCATTACCATTGACGTCAATATTTTCACAGTAAATTGTTTGGTTTTTCAAATAACTTCCTAGATTGGGCCGAAATATTTGAATTATATTCATAAAAGTTTTTCCAATTTCTGCAGTAACCGGTGGATCATACGGATTAACAGGAGTTTTAATCTTTGGGTAATTTCCTTCCATCAGATGATTTTCAACATTGATTAATTTATCCTCTTCTGCTTGCTCCAGACATTGATAGATATAATCATGTTTACAATCTGGAAACATTGCGTGTAATGGATTAAATAAATGTTCTAAATTAGGATAATTTTGCGTTTGATATTGATTTATCCTGATTTTATCAATTTCATGTTGTAAATTTACTTGTTTAGAGTCATTTTTAGAATAACCTGAATTCGTTTGTAAAATCATAGTTAGATGATTAATGTCCATAGGTTTATGTGATTTGTAAATATACTTGACTAAACAATTTGAAATTTCAAGATAATTTAGTTTTGTCATGTTGATATAGAGAGTAACTTCTCCGTCATCTTCAAGAATATATGCGGTTACAGAATTTGTTTTGTTTCTATTTTTGGTTTTCAAAGAATATTTTACTTCAATTTTGCCTGTCTCTTTTACTATGAGTTTTTTAAGCCATTCTTCACTTCTTTTAATGACATGTTTAGGATAATCACGGTAGAATAAATGAGCTTTTTCATTGATATTTTTTTGTAAATCTGGAAAATTTTTTGATTCTCGAGTATTCCCCAATAATTTTGCCTCTTCTTCGATGGAATCACTTAATCGTTTACATTCCAAACACTGAATTTAAAAATTATTATGATTAATACTTTCTTTTTTTTAAAAAAAAAAATATATAATAAAATAAAAATGACAATTATAATAACATACTTCATATAGAAATTTGGGATAATCCTCTGGAACTATCAATAGATCAGAAAATATTTTCATATACGTTGCATTATCATTTATGTAAATATTTTTAGCAGAATCCAAAGTTTTTTTATTTCCTTCGGATACGCCCAATAAAATAGGTTCTTTTGTCATCCTTATAAATAAGTTTGGATCTTTATGTTTTACGGTATTAAAATCCTCAGCAATTTTTTGTAAAATAAATCTATAATTTTCATATTTTTTTTCATCATTTTTGAACGAATCCCAAACTTTATATGACGATTCCACTAGTAATTCAGCGATTTTTATGGCTGGTGGTTCGTTTTTGACACCACACTTTCGTAAAAATCTATTGGCTGCCTCTCCAAAATCTATAAATGAAAAGAATTCACCAAAACTGAATCAAAAAGAAAAAGCATTAATTTGGGATGTATTTTAAATAAGCGCAACTTTTTTGAATAAAATAATTATAAATTCATACACTTCTTCCGTTTTTCCTTGTGAATTTTTAAAGAAACATTCATGCGGGTTCTTTTGAATGATATTGTGCTCTTTGTTATAAATAGGGATAAACTCGGATTTACTTAGGGAATTCCATTGTGACTCAATAAATGCATCTCGTGTTTCTAAATATTCAAAAGTGACTCTTGCCTCATTTTCAGTCTTTAGTTTATTCTCAATTAAACGTTCAAAAAGCTTTTCACTGTTAGGATGATGATGCACACCAAGTTTTTCAACTTTATCTCTATAATCTTTGTCTATAACATTAAATCCCATTATTTCGCAATCAGGATTTATAAAACATTCTGATGGTTTAGCATATACACCTGATTTGGAACAAGGCAGGAATTCAATCTCTATTGTAGCTGCATAATACTTATCAGAATATTTATCCTCAAAATTCTTAATAAAATATTCTAAAGCATTATTACGAATTCCCTTTTCAGTTGGTGGTGCAGATAACTCTAGAATTTTTGAAAGGGTCGGATATTTTAGTAAGCCCAATTCAAACAACAACTTGGCTAAAAAATTCAAATTTATAAGTATATTTAAAATAAATATTAATAGTAAATTTGTATAAATTTGTATAAATTAATGAACAATAAAAATACCCTCTTTAGTATCATGATCCCATTTTTCTGCCCATTCGATAACGGGTAAACAAAATTCACGATATGAACCTAATGGTACAAATAATTCTCTCGCCGCAAATTTTTGCCTAATATCATCAATTTTATCATCCCTCGAAGTTACCGGCTTTTCTTTAGACCAGATTTTTGCTTTTTTTAATATTTCCCATTCATCGTCTTGGAGATTATCCGACATTGAGCCAAGATATCTTGCAAGCTGCATATAATCGAAATTCTCACCTGAAGCACACTCCAAAATAAGATCTATTTTAATAACCTGTCAATAAGTTATAAATTAAAATTAATTATAATTTAGTTTAATAATCAAATCACTTAGAATAATCAACTTATAAATATTACTAAAAAATTCTTACTTCGTTAACACCAAGAATTTTCATTAAATTCTGGAAATCAAAGAATTCTTGAAATTGAATCACCGGTAGGTTAGGAAATAAATTGACATCTTGGAAATAAGTTTCATCGGGCTTCTTCATGCCACGTGTCGTTGGAATACATTCCTTACAAATAAATAGATCATGTATTTCATTCTTGTCATTTTGAGAAGTATCATTCATATTTTTTGCTAAAATTTTATGAACACTTTCAGCAAAAGTAGGAGTAACTTCTGAATCAAATTGCTTAACAATAAATCTTGCCCAATTAACCAAAGGTAACTTATTCCACTTAAAGTATTTTTTCATATCGGAATTTTTAAAATTTTTGGAAATTTTATATGGCAAAACGTCATCAGGAACCAAGGTTTCTGTTTCCGATGTAACAAAACTCGCGTCTAGAATGTAATGAATCGTATCCAAAGCTTTGAGCTCATTTATGAAGCGAATAGTAGCCGATTGCATAAATTGCGTGAATTTGTCCAAATTAGTGTTATCCTCCACAGATATCCACCATTCTAAGAGTGCAATTATTTCAATTTCTTCAGACAATGACCGTTTACTTAATTCAAGCAAAACATCTTGAAAAGATAGCTCTTTTATAAGTCCCATTTCATTTGCTTTCTTAAAAAAAGATTTACAGTCTTCTAATACCATTTTTGGAACAATTGGAACTTTTTTTATGAATGGTTCCATTTTTGGATTAGGAATTCGAACATCAGTTATTGGAAGAACCCCCTGCGTTGAGAGAATCGGCAATTTTTGGTCTAAGCGTTCAAAAAATTGTTGTTCGATGATTTTACCAACAAAATCATTCGGAGTACTTTTATTAAACGTGAAATGCCTTAGAACATATGCAGCACGTTTTTCAAACTGGTCCATATTTTCGACATTAAAGCCTTCGTCTATTTTGTTCATCTCGTTCTCATATAAAATACTGCACAATATCCCCGCTGAATTTAATATTTCTTTATTAAAATCTTTCAAAGTATTGTTTACCAAATCGACTGATTCACGCTCTACACTAGGAATTACATGAGCTGACAAATTCAAGCAACATCCTATCGTTTGTTGAGTTGGAAAACCAACATACATTCTTCCTTGTTCCGGATACGGGAGTAATTTTCTAAAAATTGATGGAACTTGTTTACTAAGGTCTTTAAATTCAGGGAATATCATGTGTATTTTTGTATCTTCTGGTAGGTCTTTTTTAGTAATTCGCTTCATCTCATTAGAGAACTCCTTTTTAGCTGTAATTTTCAAAATTCCATCGGCTACTTTAAAAACTATAGAAATTTCTTCTTCTTGATAATCAGTGATTAGTGATTGTCGTTCGGAGCCATTTTTTAGAACCAGTAATCTTTTGACGTTCATTTGAATATATTTAATATTTAGTGAGGTAAGCTGAAGCTGAAAAATCTTATCCGGAGAATAGGTATTAAATTCTGATTTAATATCTATCGATTTTGTCGCTTGCTGTACCTCCTCCTTTGACAATTTTATTATTTGTGTATTATTAAAATATACAGTTATTTCTTGAATTTTGCTCGTAAATGCCTATTTATATGTAAGATATTATAAAAAATGCTAATAAAAATATCATTTTCAAAATTTCATAAAAACTTACTAATGAATCAGACAAGAATAGTGTAAATTCTTCGACATCTGGAAACTGATTGATATAAAATTCAAGTATTAATTAATAAATAAATACGTACAAATAATATATACGGCATATCATTTTGGTAGCTACTTTATCAGGTTCTCTTAGACGCATAGCGAACGTTGTCCAATTTCGATCTTCTTGATCTCCGCCATCAATTTCACCATACACCGTAAGTAACTGGTCGTGGTCCCAAATGAAATTCATCCCTTTTCCGTTAGATATTACGCTAATAATAACAAAATTTTATTAAATTCAAACGATTTATTAATTAGACAAGATTTAAACCGCTCTTACAATGGTTCTTCACAAATTGAAAACAATGAATAAAAACCAACGCCGAAAGCTCCTATCTATAAAGAAGAATCGGGAAAATGAATAAATTAACAAACAAACAAACAATAAACAGGCAAGCTAATTTTAATACCGTACTTTTTGTTCCCCAGGATTTCCTACTGCGATTTCTTGGATCCTATCCCAGTCTTCTTTTTTAAAAGCGAGTCCGTTATTCTTGTATATAATTGTCTCAATTTTGTCATTCAGTATATTTTTATCTGTGCTTGGATTCTTAGTTTCAAATATAATCTTGACCTTTGATGAATTAGCATCATCTTTACAAAAATATATATATATAAAATTAATTTATCTAATAAATTATAAATTGAAAAAGACTATTAATTAAAAATTTATTACCAGAATTTTGCATTAGCTCTCGATATATTACGAATTTAGTAGAATATCTATAAAATATGATGTTAAAAAGTGCACATATCCTTTTCTATTTTAAACAGCTAAGAACTTACCGAGCCAAAATTTTATCAATCAAATATCTTTGATTGACCATAATATTTCCCTTACTTGGATTTAAAAAAATGGATTTTTTGAAAGCGTTTTTAGACATTTTTGGAAGATACAGTATAAAAATTAAAAAAAATTCACCGTCTACATATTTATTTGTTATTTTCTTTTTGTCCAATTCGGCAAATCCATCGTCGTAAAAAAAGAATTGATTTGCAATTTATGTAATATGCAGTGTATAATAACAAAGTACAAAAAGAATAATAAAATGAATGATACGAATTGTAAAATCGATTTTAAATGTCTGCTAAGTTGACTAAAAAAAAAAAAGAAGGAACCGAGAAGGTCGACGTAGCTGTTTGTCTATCGGCGGAGAAGTATATTATTCCACTGAGACTTGAGGATAGTTTAACAAAAGTTCGTGAAGAACTTGTGAAAATAAGTGAAATTAATATGAATGAAAAATTATTTGATAATGGTATTGGTATTATACCATTCAAAATGGAAGATACTTTCAAATTAAAAGGAATTGTTAGAAAAACGAAGTCATACGAGTTATTATTAAAAGTAAACTTATGGAAACATTTGAACGAAACACTTAAATTTAAATTAGATTATGGATTTAAAATGACTTTAAAGAAGGCGAGCGAGAGAGCATTTGCAATGAGTGATTGTAATGTTTTTCCACTTGCCACAAGACAACTGACTGTTAAGAATGAAAGTAATGATGATCAAACGGCAGGAAAAGAATTATCTTTTAACTCGGATCTTGATACAGCTGGTATACCATTATCATTTGGAATATCAGGAAATAAGAGCAGTGTAACTGGAACAAATTCATCTGATGAGACCACTTATTATTATAAAAATCGTTTAGAATTTAAAGAATATTTAGAGCCAACTGAAAACTTCCTTGCAGAAGTGAAGAATGCCATGAATTTAAATGATCCTGATCCTAGAAAATTTAAAAAAATTGTTGAAAGGTATGGCCAAATTATTCCAACAGAGATCATTATGGGTGGAAAAGATTATAAAAAGGAATTTGGAACGTCAAAAGATAAATCTCAAGGTTTTATGGCAAATATTAAAATACCGTGTGTTGAAGGGAGAATCTCTTCAAGTGATTCAAAAAAAAGTTCATCATTACATACAGAAGAATCAGAACAAGACTGGGTATGCATAGAATATAACAATTGTATTAATATTTTTCAACTTTTAGTTGACTATCTAAAACGCGAAGATTTACGCGAAGATATATGCAAAGTTTTAGACGAAGATTTACGCAAAAATTTACGCGAAAGAATATTTTCTATTATTGGGGAAAGAATACTTCATTCAGGTATTGAAACGTGCATTTGTACATTCAATGGAGGAGGTTCATTCATTGAAGAATTTAAGACTATACCAAAAAAGATTTTAGATATGATAAGTGAGGAAGCTGATATTAGTATTTTTGCGGTAGTTTTTGATACTAAAGATAAAAAAAAGAGTTTTCTTAACGTTAAGTTTAAGGCGTTTTCAAAAGATAAAGATGACGATTTTTTTAATTGTCAAATCATTTGTCATCAGGGTCAAAAGCCAAAATATGTTATATGTTGTAATCAAAAAGATTCCGAATTAAGCGGATGTGATTTAAAAATCAAATATATGATTGTTGGAAAATATACGAATTTTAATTCTATTGATTATGACGAATTGGATTCCGATATTCAATTAAAAGTCATAAAGAATGATATTAATCAAAAATTTAATAAAAGTATATTACCGGGGGATTCATCAGATCACTTTATTGGAACTCCTGTTTTAAAAGATTCAAAAGGTTTAAAAGGTTTAAATCAAGGTTCTATTGTCGGTCATTATTTTTATACAGAACAAGATAACGTTGGAGTATTTACATTTAATTATTGTCCGAGACAAAAAAAGTATGTTGATTTACCTACTTTTAGCTTTTATACTCTTAAAATTTCTAACATTTATGGTACAAGTAATGGATTTAATTATAAGTATAAATCTGAAATTTATAAGGAAATTGATCATCCAAAATATTTTAGCCTATACTCAAAAAATAATTTTCGTCCAATTTTTTTTAAATATGCGATCAACGAAATTGGATTAAAAAAAATTAGCTGCAAGTGTAATAATTGCAATGTTTGCAACGATAGTTCAAAATTTTCTAAAGAAAATTTTGATTTTAAATATTTTTATTTGCCTAACTATGAAAAAATTTAAATTAATATATTTTATTTTATTTTATAAGATTTAATAAATGTATTTAAAAAAAAGTCGTGTTACAAAGAGATTTCCTAATAATACATTTGGATTCTTATTCCAAAACTCGCAAAAATATTCCAAATATTTGTCTTATAATCTTTCGAAATAAAAAATCAAACCTTCCCAATTAAAAAAAATGTTTTTTTAGGAGTTTCGCAAGACATTTTATGTTTCTTAAAACCATCATATTTCGGATAATTAAGCATTCCTATTGGATTAGACAAAAAAATCTTTATTGCTATATCACGTGCACTATTAAACTCAAATTCTGCGGAAAATCATTCACAAAATTGCCAATGTAACATAGCACAATTCAAAATTTATATATTACTTCGATATATATATAAATTAAATTTTGAATAATTTTAAATTCACGCTGATGCGACTCTTGAACTGATTCTAAATTTGGACCCGACATTGTTCTCTGACCCTAAGTACTATTGTCTTCACAAATGTGGTAGCCGGATAAATTTTGCCGTCGTTTCTATCGCCTATTTTGTATACTTAGAATTTTTCGATTTTCTAAGATATACGAGATAAGGTTGTTGATTTCAGCCAGAATGCATGAGTCGATCCTCCTTAATTAAGGAATTCTGATTCATCACACAAACGTTCTCGTCACACCATCTCTACATAATTATAAATATGTTATCAGTTATAAGATTAAAAAGATACCGTCTGCTTCGAAATATTTTAAAATGGCAAATTCAAGCTATATAAGTGATCTCGATTATGATGAATTTCAGAATATAATCGAAATTGGTAAAGGGAAGAATAGCGTCATTCGTAGAGCAGATTGGACTAAACATAATAATAGAATCGCGTTGAAAAATTTAAATTCTAAAGAGGAGTTTATTCAAGAGGTAAAAGTAAATACTTTATGCTAAATATTCTGAATTTATTAGTAATAATACATTTATTTATATTAGATTAAACAACTTTGTAAAGTGAATTATCATCCAAATATCAATCATCTTCTTGGAACGACAAAAGGTTTCATTTATATATTTAACTACTTTGAAAAAGATTAGTTACGCTAAAGTATTGATTTTTTTGATTTAAAAATAGATACATTTGGAAATGATATTATGGTATTAGAATATGCAAATGAAGGAAGCTTGAGAGATTATTTAAAGAATCAATTTTCTACACTAAATTGGAGTCAAAAGATTGAAATGGCGTTAGACGTTACTCGAGGGTTGATGTGTTTACACTCCGAGAATATAATTCATAGGAGCTTGGTAAGTAATACTACAATTAATCGTATTATTGCGCCATTTAGTACCTTATTAATTATACTGTTATTTTTTAAAAAGCACGCAGAAAATGTATTAGTTAATGATGGTAAATTAAAGATCTCTGACCTTGCACATTCTGCACAACAGTTTGAAGATTTAACATTATCAAAAGTGCATGTGATGGTAGAATACGCTGATCCAAAATATCTTTTTGATCCCGTGAATTATAAACTTAGTATGAAATCCGATATTTATAGCTTAAGTATTCTTTTGTGGGAATTATCAAGTGGACGTCCTCCGTACTCGAAAGTTCAAAAATCTCATAACAAATTAAGACACGATATTCTTAACGGCCTGAGAGAAATACCTGTTGAAAATACACCCATAAAGTATCAACAGCTTTATCAAAAGTGTTGGAAAGAAAGTCTTAACCAAAGATCAAATATTTTTGAAGTTTTTGAAGTTTTAAGTCAATTAAAGTTTGAGAATATAGGTATGTAAACTAATTTATTCATTAATTAATTAATTATTTATTTTTTACATTTGTTAACTTTAAAAAATATGTCCATTTGCAGGTGAGGCCATTGTAGAAAATGTAGACGATGTAGAAGATGAGTCAACTGATCAGGAAATAATTCAAAAATTGAAGTTAAACCATGGATTATTCTTGAATGATTACACTGTGCAACCTAGCGAACAAGCTATTTATGATGATAATGGTGAATTAGATGTAGATTTATATGATGAACCTTTAGTATATACGGACATCAATTTATCTTTTGATGATAATTTTGATAATAATTTCGAAACTTCCTTTCAACCTTATGATGCTTGTATCAATTTTCCATTTGCTAAAGTCTCTTTTAATGGGGATTTATTAGGTACCTTTTTGAATTATGAGAATACGGATGGAAAATTGAATGATTATTATGGTCATTTTTTTTCAAAAAAAGTTTTAGTTGGCGGTCAATTATTTATTAAAGATTTGAATACAGCTACTACAACACAAATTCATCTTTTAAAGATGCATTTAAACTGGGCATATAATTTGGTTAAACGCGAAGATCAAAATCAATTATACAATATTAACGTGCAACTTGAACCTACAATAGAAACTTTGGATGGAAAAGAAATAACAACTACCGAAGAGTTGGTTAATTGGATGAAAAATTTGTATCAAGAGAATATGATTGATGTAATTTCTTATATTAATCCTATTCCTATTCTTAAATTAAAAGATGATCCTCAACTTGTAGATAATATTCAAGGTTTTGATGAAAAAATAATCAAAGTTGCTAATTATAAAGATAGATTGAATTTTGGCGAATGGGTAAAAGATTCAATATATGTCAATCTACCTGAATGGATCGATAGCTTCAATCTTTTTCAAGGCTTAATCATCAATAAAAATTCTGAAGTAGAGATTGCCCACAAAGCTTTTATTGATTTAATTAAAAAATATCCTTATTTGGAGTCAAAAGATAATTTTCATTTGAAATTCAAAAAGCCAACAAATGAATTAGAAATTTCCTCAAATAAGTTAGAGATTTCTTCAGTTAAAAAAATAAAGTCACATATTTTTAATAGTGTATTTGATGATGTGAATGGTGAAAAATTGAAAAATTATGAAAATAATATTTGTTTTATAATCAATTATGAGCAATATGAGATTTTTTTACCTCGGGATAATATTACACTTTCAAAAGGGTTTAGACAAGATATAGGAAATGCAATTAAAGATATGAGGCCACGTGAAGCTTTACAAGATGTATTTAATAAATACGGTTATCTATTTCCACAGAAAATCGTTTTAGGGAAATCTTTTAATTATATTTCAACAAGATTTTCTCCAAAATTTGATCGAGTATCTTCAAAAATATCAACAATTGAGTCGTTAAAATCTTATTTGAAACATCTTGAAATGCCGGATTTAACTCAAAAAGAAAAGATCGAAATTGAAATTCCATATTTATTAACTAAAGAAGAAAAGATTGAAATTGATGAATTGCCAGATTTTATTCGAGAGAATAAAGATGATTTGGAAATTATTGAATATGATAATATCATTAATTTGTATGATATGCTTCAATATGAACAACAAAAGCAAATTGACATCATTTTTGATGAAGGTTACAAAGTTATAATGGTTGGAAGAAATGATTTAAAAGATTTAAATGATGATAATACTGAAAATTATAAATATATAAGTATTAATTTATCATTAAAGGATCAAGATTATGAAGTTTTTGGTTCAATAGTATCAGATGATATATTAGAAAAATCAGGAGAATTTTCTGTAAAATTTAAATTTTATGATTTTAAAGGATTTACTGCAATTATAAAAAACCTAGAAGATTTAAAAAATCGACATCTTAAAATTACAAAATGTTATATTTTATGGGTAATTGTTGGAAAACCTTCAAAATTATCAGTATTTAGTCCAAAAAATCGAATATGTCAAATTGATTGTATTAATGAATCAATTTTATTACAACCAGATAAATCTTATTATGAAATTAAAACTCCTTTTCAATTATCTCAAGGATGTGTAATTTCCATTAATACATATCATCCACCAATAAATAATGAACCTGCAGATTTAATTAAATTTGTTAAATGGTCACATAATTCTATTATTTTCCATTCCAATCCAATTTTAAGAGCTTTAAATGTGAATGAAAATAATTATATTGATTATGAAGTTGATGTTTTAGTAGAGAATTTTTCCATAGAATTACATATTTGTATCTTTACTGATTTTAAGAAATTAAAGATTGATAATGAAGAAAATGAATTTTCTTTGAATTTGATTGGAAATATTTTAACAAAAGAAAATTTTATTATTGATAAATATAATGATGCTAATGAATTTAATATTAATGAAAGTAATATTAATGAAAATAATATTAATTATGATAATTTAAACAATATTGTTAATCAAATAATAGATTTTCTTATAAATGAAAAATATTTTACTTTTGATGAAAGCAAACGAATTCAAGTAATAATTGAAAAGTTTTTTACCAATGATATAGATTTAAAGAAAATGCTTAACTGGTTATTAAGCAATCAAGATAATTTAAATAATTTGTTTTTACTTGGTTATTTTTATTATTTTATTATTAAAACAAATGAAGTTTATAAAAAAGCATTTAATTTATTTTATAATGTGATTAATAGTAAACATATAACTTTTTATGAAAATGCAAGTTATTTAGCAAAGTATTATACTGGAATTTGTTATTTAAATGGAAAAGGAATAGAAAAAAATGATGTTAAAGCATTTAAATATTTTAAACAATTATTTAAAAATAATAAAAATTATAATAATGAAGTAGTAATATTAGGATACTGTTATATGAATGGAATAGGAACTAAAGTTAATAAGAAAAAAGCATTTGAATTTTATGAAAAAGCTGCTAATAAGGAAAATATTTATGCACAAAATAAACTTGGATTATTATATAAAAGTGGAATTGGAATAGAAAAAAACTCAGATAAGGCAATATTTTGGATTGAAAAATTAGCAGAAAAAAGTACTGAAGGAAAGAATATGCTTAATACATTGCATGTATATAACATAAATGTAAAAAGTAATATAAAAGATTTATTTCATCAAGTTGAAAAAGCAGCAAAAAATGGAAATGAAAAAGAAATTTATAATTTGGGTAAATATTATGAATATGGAATAGGTTGTAAAGTAAATAAATATAAAGCATTTGAATATTATAAACAAGCTGCTAAGAAAAAGTATTTAGAAGCAATATTTAAGGTTGGAAATTGTTATTATAATGAAATAGGAATTACTGTTAATAAAAAAGAAGCATTTAAATATTATAATGAAGCTGCAAATAAAAAACATAAAATTGCACAAAATAATCTTGGAATATTATATGAAAATGGTGATGGTATAGAAAAAAATTTAGAAAAAGCTATTGATTGGTATAAAAAATCAGCAAAAAATGAATATAAAGATGGATATTATAATTTAGGTTTATATTTTGAATTTAAAGAAAATAATAAGAAATTTGCATTTGAATTTTATAAAAAGGCAGCAGAATATGAACATTTAGATGCATTATTTAAACTTGGATATTTTTATTCAAAAGGAATAGAAGTTACAGTTAATAATAAAGAAGCATTTGGATTTTATAAAGAAGCTGCAATAAAAGGACATAGAATTGCACAAAATAATCTTGGAATGCTATATGAAAATAGTAAAAAAACAGAAAAAAATGTAAAAGCCTTTTATTGGTATAAAAAATCTGCTGATAATAAATATAATCTTGCATATTATAATGTAGGTAGATGTTATGAAAATAAAATAGGAATTGAATTAAATGAAAGTAAAGCATTTAAATTTTATAAAAAAGCAGCTAAAAATAATCATTTACTTGCAATATTTAAAGTTGCAACATATTATTCAAATGGAATAGGAATAGAAAAAAATTTAAAAGAAGCTTTTAATTGGTATCAAAAAGCAGTAGAAAATAATAATATTAATGCAATGTATAATTTAGCTGAATGTTATAAAAATGGTGAAGGAACAGAAAAAAATTTAGAAAAAGCTTTTAATTGGTATCAAAAAACAGCAGAAAATAATAATATTAATGCAATGTATAATTTAGCTGAATGTTATAAAAATGGTGAAGGAATAGAAAAGAATTTAGAAAAAGCCTTTTACTGGTATCAAAAAGTAGCAGAAAATGGACATATTGAAGCACAAAATAATATTGGTTGTTTATATGAAAAAGGTGAAGGAACAGAAAAAAATTTAAAAAAAGCCTTTTACTGGTATCAAAAAGCAGTAGAAAATGGACATATTGAAGCACAAAATAATATTGGTTGTTTATATGAAAAAGGTGAAGGAACAGAAAAAAATTTAAAAAAAGCCTTTTACTGGTATCAAAAAGCAGCAGAAAATGAACATAAAAATGCAATGTATAATTTAGCTATATGCTATCAAAATGGTAAAGGGATAGAAATAAATTTAAAGAAAGCCCTTGATTGGTATAAAAAAGCAGTAAAAAATGGACATACTGAAGCACAAAATAACATTGATTATTTATATAAAAAAGGTAAAGAAAATTTTACTATTGTTATAATATTTACATATAATTTAAACTAATTAATTTCTTTATTTAAAAATTATTTTGTAATTTTTTTTAGTTGGTAAGTTATTTATTTAATTTTATTATTATTTATTGTTATAATATTTACATATAATTTAAACTAACTAATTTTTTTATTTAATAGATCGTAAGTTATAATTTATTTATTTAATTATGTTTTATTATTACTTATTGTTATAATATTTATATAAATTTAAACTAACTGATTTTTTTTATATTAAAGAAAAAGCTGAAAATTTTACAAAAAATAATCCACCTATAGAAGAATTACCACCTCCAGAACATATTGCTGAGATACAAAATATTGGAGGAGTAAAAGCATGGCAATGGATTAATGATGAATCAGATCAATTAGTTTCAATTCAAGGAGAAGGAGAAATTATTGAATTTTTAGATAATATGGATATTAGTATACAAACCAATTATCCTTGTTTTATACCTATTTTTGAAAAAGGTGAAGGAGTTATTGTAGAAGGTGAACAAATTAGATATTCTGAAACGATGTTTGTACAACCTCAAAAAACACCACATAGAAAATTACATTATTATGAAATAACAGTAATAAAATATATGGATCCTTACAATACTAATATTGCTATTGGTTTAGCCACTAAACCTTACCCTCATTTTAGATTACCTGGTTTAAATTTATATTCTGTTGGTTATCATTCTATAAATGGTCAAAAATTTAATAATGATAGTATTGGTATTGAATACGGACCTGATTGGACAAAAGTTGAGGACACTATTGGTTGTGGGTATTATTCTGATAGTGGAGATGTTTTCTTCACTAAAAATGGAAAATTTTTGGGTTGCGCTTTTACCAATATAAAGCATATTTGGTTTCCTACAATTGGTGCTAATAGTCCTTGTACAATTGAAATTAATTTTGGAGATAATCCTGATAATGAATTTAAATATAAAGAAGCCATAGGTTATGGTCCTGGTGGATCTATTCTATTAAGTAAAAGAAGAAGTTTAAAAAGTCGTAATAATATTAAAGGTTCATCTAGTGAAAGCAAAACATAAATAGAAAATCAGTAATAGATCATGTGACATTTTTTTCAAAGTTTGATAATTTAATAAAATTACTTTATTTTTATATTATTATTTTATATGTATTTGCAGTATATTACAATTTTTATTAAATAAAGTTACATTTATAATATTTATATTGTATATTTATAATAAATATTAACATATGAATTTTTCTTAATTTTTTTTGTTTTATTTTAAATTTTATTGATTAAAAAAATAAAAAAATCTGATTTACTGATTTCTTTTTTTTTTCATTATTTCTTATTTTTTTATGATAACCTATTTTATCACCTGGCTACTAATTGGTATTTAGGATTTTTTCTGCCAGTTATAAACTGGCGAACCAATTAGTATATCTAGGATGATAAAAAAGTTATTTATTGATTTAGTTTAGTATATAAATGGATCATTATTCTTTAGATGATAATCCATTTATATACTATTAGATTAGTAAATAACTAATATATAACCAGATATGTAATTTGTATAAATACTATTCAAATAATTTTGGGTATAATTAAAATCATTTTTAGAAGTAAAATAATATATTGGAAAATTATAATATGATAAATTATATGGTGTTATAATAGGAGAAGAATAATATAATGAAGTAATAGAATTTGAATTATAATTTTTGGTATCATTTTCATCAGCTTTAATTTTATTTTTTATTTTATCAGCTTTATTTCTTTTTTTTATTCTGTAGTATTTTCAAATTTTACATCCAATCATAAATAAAATAATTATTGGTACTAATGCAACTATAAGAATACATAAATTATCACAAAAACATTATTTATTTCTACCAGAATAAAAAAATATTCATGAATAGTGATACAAGTGAAATTATTTTTTGTAATCTAAAACATTTTAGATTTTTTTTTAAAAAACTAATTTCATTTTATAATTGAAATCTTTTCCAAAACTTAAATTTATATTTGAAATCTAAACTTATATTCAAAATAAATTATGCATTTAAATTAACCAAAATTAATTAGATTTTATAAATAATATATTACAGTAATTACACAAAATGAACAAAATATGCAAATATTTGTAATAGACGTAACATTAATAATAAATTAACAATTTTATATTTTTATTTTATTGCACTTTATAATCATATTATATTATTTTTTATTTGAAATGTCAAAGTGTTCTTAAATTTCAAATTTATCTAAATCATTATCTAGTAAATGTTGTTAAGTTAATTCATCAATATTGTCATTATCATTATCATTTTTACTATTATCGTTACTAGTATTATTATTTGAACTTTCATTATTAATATTATTATCATTGCTATCAATTTTATTATCAGTATTATTATTTTTTAAACCTTTCACCACATCTTTTAGATCAATTATCTTTTTAATAATTAAAACCTGAATTATGTTAGGAATATCTGAAACAGCTACATTTTTTATTGTGTTTCATTAATAATTTTGTTATCCTTTTTTTCAAATTGTAAAAGTATTGAATTATTAATCATTTCATATAACTCTTTTTCTGTATATCATTAACTAATATAAGTAAGTTTATTGTTAATATTAGATACATAAAATAAATGAATTTTTGCTATAACTTCAACTTTTGAAAGTTCTAAACATTGGCCTTATTTACCATATACCCAATCAAGTGTAGAAAATATTTTCTCACAACTTGCGTTATATGAAGTAATAGAAATATCATAATAGCTAATTCATAAAAATATTTATATTTATTCTTAATTGAAAGCTACTAACTTATTAGTGTTTTAAGATCGCTATTAAATTCTTCATGATATGGACTATGTTTTGAATCATAATTGCAAATTTGTATTAATAGTCAATTATGTGATTTTTAACTGAAACTATTATTTATCCAAATTTGACTAGTAGTATCATACTGGTTAGAATATTCCATTTCATTCAAATTTTAAATTGACAAATGTTGGACGAAAGTTGGTTTAAATTTGGCTAATCATTACCAAAAAAATCATCAAAATTATTATGGACGATTTGCACAGTTCACCTCATCAGAAAATTTGTTTAGGCGTAATTTAATGTAATATTTTGGAGGTAGTGTAAAATTTTGAAATATTACACTAAAAACGTAATATTACAAAAGTTTATGCTGTTAACCGATTCAGTACGTTGAATAGATTAACTATGATTTGCAGTCAGAAAGATTAAGTTCGTTTAACTATAACTGAAATCCAATTAAATAAAACACGCTTAAAATAGTAAGTTCGTTTATTGTGTAAAAGGTTATAGAACTTTATAATTATAAGAACTTAATATGAACTAATCATAACTAAAGAACTAAACTTATAACGAAGAAAAATACCAACGTTATTTATATAAAAGTTACTACATATAAAGATATAATAAATATAATAAATATAACTAATATAAGAAATATAACTAATATAATAAATATAATAAATAAATTAAATAATATAATAAATAAAATAATTATATCATTTATATTAAATATAATTAATATAATAAATATAATAAGCTAAATAGGCTGTGGCCTGTGGCTAGGTCGACTTGACACATTTGGGCATAATAGATTCTAATTTTCTACATGATTTTTTGGCGACTAAGGGTAATAGATTCCTCCTTTAATTTGCAGCTTCTGCAAAAATCAATAAATTATTTCTAAGTCTTCTTATCTGAGATCTGGTAATTTTTCTAATAGTCTGGATATCTAGTTTCTTCATTCTTAAGATTTGTTCTGAAAAAAACTCAAAAATATTAAAAGTCTTTTTTATAATTGTTGCATAATGTAATGACATTTTATGCTTGTATCTTAATTGTTCACTAGAAGTTGATAGTTGGTCTAGAAGTTGTTCCAAATAAAAAGAGTTAATCATTGCCAATTGTGTGTTTTTTAAACAGATTGACTTTGTTATACTTTTTAACGTTGCAGAAAATTTAATTTGGAAATCTTCTTCTTCCAAATAGGGTGGTGGTGAAAAATTAATTTCTTCTGAAGTAGTTTGTTGAATATCTTTTAATATTTCTGAAAAATCCATTTTTCTTCAAACGGTTAAACTCTTTTGTCAACTTATTTACATCTATATATATATTTTAAATTTTTGTAGATCATTTTACTGATTAGATTTTTATTTATTTTAGATGAGATTTATGTATTACTTGTCATATTTTACCACATCTATCAGTTATTTTTAGCGCTTAAATTATTTAACCGTATTTTTCTAATTTAAGATTATTTTTCCTTGTTCTAAAAATATCTTTACATTTTCCTCTAGAAAGAAATATTTCCATAAGAAATTTTACACATCTTACATGTCCAAATTTTTCATGTAATTTCTACTTTTTTGTGATTTTTTGCATCGTGATTTTTCATAATATTTTTGTTGTGCCTGATCTTAACATGTTTTTGCGTCATGCCTATTTCTTATATAAAATCTAAATTTTCCTTTTCTCTTTTTCTTATCTTCACATAAAATCTTCAAATTTTTTCAAAAATTTTTTTCATCAACCTATCTATCTATTTATCAATTTATCTGACCTATTGTTATTCTAACATCTCATGTCAGAAATCTTGAGCAAGATTTCAAAAACTCAAAGAAGTGTACAAGATAAAAGTTTATCAACTTAAAGGTAGGTATCGTACACAAGGTTTTTAAAATGTTTCTTAAATGGTATAATTGCCTGTAAATAGGGTTTCGACTTTATATCCAGTTCTTGAAAGGTTGATTTTGCACAGCTTGTAAACAGGGTACTTGTACTTTTAGGATATCTAAGTCTTGAAAGGCCTCTACCTGTGAAATTCTTTTGTGCTATTGACCTTATCTACTTAATTTTTAACTAATTTGGAGTGACCATAAATCTCTATTTTTATTTTTAATAGAGAACCTTACAAAAGTTAAGAAAGAAAATGAAGATCTTTAAAAAAAATTTGAAAGTTTGCTAGAACTTGGGATCCACAAAAATCTTGTTACTAAGTTTCATAATAAAATCTGAGCCGAAAAGCAATGAAAATTATGGGAGGCCCAAAAATTAATCATCGATCAGCAACAAACAATAGAAGGTCTTGAAGAGGAAATATGTAGTTTGCTTGAATATAATATGAACTTGAAAAGTAGTAAAGGTCATGCTAAAGCAGTTTATAAAGAGGCGAAGGAAGTGCTTGGCTTTTTGAACAATGTAATATAATTTTGACGAACATTTCTATTTTTTGTTCTAGTTTTGAAGAACTTGATTAAATAAAATTTTCCTCTTTTTGATTTTCTCTAAAAATTTTTTAATGTATTTTATAACAAATTTTCATTAAGTTTTTCGCAATAAAATTTTTAAAATTTTTCATCTTTTTAATAAATTTTTCTAGGGCATTGAGTTGCAAATTCATTTTGATCATCTGTAACACTTGTAAATTGTACTAAGTAAAATTAACTTTTTGCCATGAGTTGTAGATCTTAATCATAACTAATTATACTACAATTATTAGTTTTTAATTTTATCGATCATGATACAATTTTAATAAACTTCTATTTACAGGAGTTCGTAAGACTTTTCTATCTATAGTTCATAATTTGTACGCTCCTTTTTTTTTAACTTAATGAATATAGTATAGTCCTTTCCATTTTGGATTTATTTTTCCAGTCCATTGCTTTTCTTTTGCTGCATCATAATATAAGACTTTTTTTCTAATAGAAAATTTTATTTGATGACATAATTTTCTATCATGTCATTCCTTTTGTTTTTGTTAGGATATTTCAATATTTGTCTTAGCTATTTCAATTTCTTGAGGTAGTTGGTCCACTAAATTTTCTATATGATTTATTAAAGTTGGAGTTTTATTATTTTCTAATGAATCAGTTAGTAGTTTAGCATTTCGTCCATATAATAAAAGAAAGGTGCAATTTTGTAGTTGAATATTTTGTAGTACAATAGGCAAATAAAATTGGTGCAATATAATTATCCCAATTATCAATATGATCTGTTAATAATTTTGCTAAAGATTTTGATAAAATACGATTAAATCTTTCTATAAGTCCATTTGTTTGAGAATGGTAGGACGTTGAACATAAATGTTTTATTTGAAATTTTTTTATCAATTTTTCAATTATTTGATTTCTAAAATGAGTTCCTTGGTCTGATAATATTTTTGTTGAACATCTATGTCAACAAATTATATCTTCATAAATAAAAAGTGCAGCTTGTTCTGCAGTAGCTTTTTTGACAGATTGTGCTTCTGGCCATTTCGTTAAATAATCTATTGCTGTAATTATATATTTGTTTCTATTTATATTTATAGTAAAGGTTAGAGCTCTGAATGGGTCAGGTTGGGTCAGGTAATTGACCTGACCTGACCCATTTCATTTTTTTGGGTCAGGTCAAATGTCAACCTGATTATAAAAAGTTTTAACCTGACCCAACCCATGGGTTAATATTTTAGATCAGGTCAGATACACTACAGCCAATCTGTAAGTTAAAAATTATAATATATTTATATTTTTTTAATTGATTTTATAATTTACACATCAAATAACATACACTACCCTCCCAAAAGTATCCGGTCAACCAATAAAGATCATATTTTATTAATAATAATTAATATTTAGTTGACCATCCATTGTTTATAATGCATGCTTCAATTCGGCGTGGCATGCTCTCAATTAAATTAATGTAAGTTTTGGATGGAATTCTTTCTCACTCTTCTTTTAGCCGTTAATCCAGTATTAAAATTTTTGTATCGAACAATCATGTCTGTAACGGTACTTTTTGGAAATTTTAGGACACGACTGATAGCTTCATAAGTTCTCATCCTTTCCAAAGGCTAATAATTTTCTCACGCTCACTCAATTCACGAGTTTTTCACATTTTAAAAGTAACCGAATGGCACAGTAACAAAAAAAAGCAAAGATCGGCGTTGGCAAAATTGAGGTGTTATTATTTGTTTTATTTCTAAATCTGGTACAAGCATCATAACACAATAAAAATACATTCATTTTAATCGTTAGAACCAGGGGAATTGTTTTTTTTAAAAAAAAATAATACTTTATATATTCAATCTTGAGAAAATCAAGTTGAGCTTGGCCAGATACTTTTGGGAGGGTAGTGTATATAAATTTATAATAAATTTAAGAATTAAAATTCACAGTTTGATTTTATTTGTCTTGTATTGGCTATTACATAATAATTAATAAATTTAAAAAAATAGAAAGAAATTACTAATTTAAATTAATGTTATAAAAGAAAAAATATGAATAGAAAATTTTCTGAAAGATTATAATTATAATAATTAATAAAATTTTAAAAAGTGATCAGCTCAGTTATCTCCATTTGTTAATTTATCAAAGATATTTTATCCAATTTTTTAAGCACATGTACATCTGAATAGTTTCTAGTTTCAAGTTAGAGCGTCTTTTTATTATTAAATCAGATCTACCAGAAAATATTCGTTCAACTGGTATACTAGTCCCTATTATTAAAAATTATAAAAGTTATAACTTAGAAAAAGTTAAATAAAAAATTCAAATAAATACTTACCTGGGATCGTTAAATAGTCTTGTGCCATCTTTGCCAGATGCGGATAGGTTAAGGTTGCTTGTCTAAACCTCTTCAAAATCCTATGATTAGTTTCGTTAAAATTTTACTATAGATTTATTATAGTTTTGGCAGAGTTTCGGCAGTTTCTTCATTTATAATAAGTTTCGGCAGTTTCGTCTTTCTCCAAAGTTTCGCCAGTTTTTTAATATAACTTTAATATAGTTTCGGCAGAATTTCGCTTTTCGGCAAAACGCCATCTTGCCTAAACCCCTAAGTTTCGGCAAGCAACCTTAGGATAGGTAGCTTTGTGTACCTATAATAATATAGTTACATTTAGATTAATTTAAAGTATTAGATGCTAATAAATTAATTATAGAAAATTTACTTACTTTCCACCATTGTAGTGAATCTGTCTTAAAATTAACTGCAGGTTTACGAAGATACTCTTCTAATTCATCTTCATGACTTCATTAGAAGAATCATTATCATCACCTATTTCAAAAAGACTAAAAAAATTATTTGAATCAGTTTTCTGAGCTCTAAGATTATTATTAAATGAATCATCTTGATAATTTTCATTATACTGCTTCTTAATAATTTTTATTGCTTCATTAATATACTCTTCTTCCCATTCTTGTTGTTTATAATATTTTAGTTTTATTCTTGGATCCAGAACTAAAAAATGATAAAATACATATAAATAAGTAATAATCTGAATTATCATTAAAAATATAAATATAAGATTTAAAACTTAATTTTTACTTGTTGCAATTGGGTATACAATTGATTCATCCATCTTAAAATAATATATTTGAAGTTTTTTGTATTCTTTTTTTATAGCAGATCTTAATTCTGGAATTGGGCAATAATGGTCTTTATTATTTTTTTCAAGAAGATTTTCTAAATGATCAAGTAAAACATTATATATTGGAATGGAAGATGAAAGTGTAATAAATTTTGACTTTGACATTTCTTCAGTTGCTTTATAAAAAACCTAAATTTTAAATTAAAAATAAATAAAAAGAACCAATTGCAATAAAATTTAATAAAAAACCATTACCGCAAATACACAACATAATTCTTTTAATGTTTGCCATTTATTTGAGAAAATTGAAAATCCTTTCAATTCGGGTTCAATTCTAATTGTTTCGTCAAAAGGCTATAAAATTAAATAAAATTCAATAATTTATTACAATTTTATTAGTATTTATTAATGATTAAAAATTTTACTTACTTTTTGAAATTGAAGAGCATGTTCTATCATTAAATATGTAGAATTCCAGTGAGTCTTGACATCCAATATAAGATTTAAATCTTTAACAGTTGGATAAAGATCACATTAGCGTGAAAATCTGTCTCGATGCTGTGGTAAAGCCTGAATTTTGACTATAAATTTTCTCAACTAATAATTATTTTATATTAGTTAGATTTTTTATATAAATTATTTTTAATCATAATTTAATTTACCTTAGGGATTATGTCATTTGTTTTGTTATTTTTTTCTAAAAGTTCTTCT